CCCACCAATATTGGCAGCAGGTCGATGTCTCGCCCGGTGCGACTGCGTCGGTTGGGGTCGGACATAGCTCTCTTGAGATAGAACTTGACTCGACGACGTCCCTTGCGTGATCCCTTGTCCTCCGACAGTCAGTCCACTGTAGAGCATGTTTTGGGACTGTGCTATTATGGACTGCTGCTCTGGAGTGAGTGCATTAAAGTCAAGGATCGATAACAAGTTATAAACCCCCTCCATGGCATTGGCCTGAAAAAAAAAATTGAAAATTATTACCATTAAATAAAAAAAAAATAATAATAAGAATAATAATAATAAAACACAATTTATTAACACTTACACTGCACATCTCCTGCTCGGACAGTGGATGAAAGCCTCCTTGTTGTTGGACCACCGGGTTGTTGCCAGGATTACTGATTAGTCTCACAATCCTATAGTGAAACCAATCAAGGTAACTCGGCTCAGGCTCAAGGAACGACTCCACAGGGTAATGTGGAAGGACATGTTGGGCTCTTTGTTCGATCCAAACATTCCCAAGTGTTCCATGATACTCCACCCAATCATAGAATGCCCTCCCAGTCATTCCCTGGCCTCGGTGGTGTGTCTGGTACTCAGTCAAACCCCTAATGATCGGAGGTCGGGGATGGCTTGCCGACACCCGAACTGACGGATGACCCTATCAGTCAGGTGCTGCTCACGAATGTCCCAACAGAAGATCCACCTTCTATACATCCAGAGGCGTGAACCTTCTGTACACGGGGCCGGGAGAGTACCCTCGTCTAGGTGGCGCTTATATGGCACCCAATTGAACTGTAAAAAAATAATAATAATATTTATTAAGTTATAGAAAAATAAAAAACGAAAAACAAATATATATAATAATCAATATTACTTAATAAAAATCTTACATCATTCTCTCTCAGCCACGTTAATTGATCTCGAATAGCGGCTGTTCCCTTTCCGATGTGTTTCATATTCCTCCGTCCCACCCACCTTAAAAATCACATAATAAAAAAAAAAAACCAAAAATTCTAATCACAAAATTTTATAGTTAAAATATTCTAAGTATTAAACATAAATAAATGGGGAAAATAATTGTGCGCAACCTGAACTATACGTGTTTTGGGATTTACAACCTAAAGTTTTTTTTTTGGTAAAATGCAACCTGAACTACATACAGAATCACTATTTGCACCCTCGACCACATCTTGACCATACACGTGCCCTTTTTTGCTATTGATCGAACGGTCAAGATGTGGTCGAGGGTGCAAATAGTGATTGTGTATGTAGTTCAGGTTGCATTTTACCAAAAAAAAATACTTTAGGTTGCAAATCCCAAAAACACGTATAGTTCAGGTTGCTCACAATTATTTTCCCTAATACATGTGATTACCTTGCTCCTAAGGGACAACCATGGACTCTGTCAAAGTTGGTATCCC